AGGTGAGGTGAGGTGAAATGGGGTTTAATGTCGTGTCCAAGATTATTGCACTTATATAGCGACATGCATGCGTGTGTGTGTGTGTGTGTGTGTGTGACCAGTCCTTGTTTAAGACCCTTAATGCTGAGCGCCAGACAGTGTAACAACAAGTACCATCTTTTAACGTCTTTTGGTATGACGCGGCCGGCGATCGAACCCTGAACCTTCCGCTCTCCGGGCGGACAACACAGAATAGACCCTGGACATGGGTAATTTGTGATGAAGTTGACGATGACAACAACCTTCCTACTACTGCTTCTATTCCCCTCTTACACTGCAGCTTCTACTACTACTACTACTACTACTACTACTACTACTACTACTACTACTACTACTACTACTGAGAGTCGACTAACGGGATCAGGTGGCAAGGCTTGCTGACTTGGTTGAAGCATGTCATCGTATCCCAATTGCGTGGATCGATGCTCATGATGTCAATCACTGAAACATCTGTTCCGTACTCGATTATATACAGACTGTCGTCACATAGCTGGAATATTGCTGAGTTACAAACAAACAAACTACTACTACTACTACATAACTACTACTACTACTACTACTACTACTACTACATAACTACTACTACTACATAACTACTTCTACTACTACTATTACTACAGCTCCTACAAGTGCACCACCACTACTACCACTACAGCTTCTTCTGTCACAGTTCCTACTCATGAGTGCACCACCACCACTTCTACCACTCCTTCTACTACAGCTTCTACTACTACCACTACTTCTCTTACAGCTACTAGTACTACCACAACTACAACTACCACACCTACAGTCGCTATACAGGGCTGTTATGTACAGCCTCCCGCAGGCCCTCAGTCTGAAGCCTCCACACAAATGACCACCACCAGTGTCAATCCCTCCCACAAACCCAGGCAATTATGGAGGCAGAACAGTAGACAACTCAGGATCAAAGTGTCTGACTGTCTCAGGCGGGGACTACCTCCAGAGAATTACAACAGCCAGGTTAAAGGAGCAAGAGCCGATCTCCAAGTATTTTCCATAATCTTATCAGAGTTCTAAATGATGTGGGAATTCAAACTTAAACTATGACATTTACTATACACATGTGTCCTGTTCAAAGATCTCTGTGAAATGATAACAAATACAAAATCAACAGTGTTTCAAAATAAGGAAAAAAATCAGAGCTTTTGTCTTAGTCCTAAAGTTCAAAATGGTTTAGCAGTAGATTATTCAGAAGTAATATAGGCCACAGGTCCAGTTTACACATTGAGAATTGATATGATCCTCTTAATTTCCAACACTAATCCATGTGACACTACACAATGTAGCCAAGCTTGATAAATCCTGTAGTAGTAGTAGTAGTAGTAGTAGTTTTAGTAGTAGTAGTAGTAGTAGTATCAGTAGTAGTAGTAGTAGTAGTAGTAGTAGTAGTAGTAGTAGTAGTAGTAGTAGTAGTGATAATAACAAAAACAAACAACAACAATAATAATAATACATGTAATAATTCGTAGAACGCCTGATGTAATAATTCGTAGAGCGCCTGTCTCCAGTTTGTTATTACTGCTCAAGGACATCAAGAAAACAACATGCAGCTCTGACAAGTGATTCAATGGTATGCCTGTCTGAAGAAGTGAGTCTTTTGCTGAATTCTAAAGGAAGACAAGTCTTGAATACATCAGAGATAATCTTAAGGATTGTTCCACAGTACTTGTCCAGCAAAGCCTCGATCCCCAAAGGTGTCGGTGCATGAAATTGGGTCTTTCACGAGCTCACTGCTATATGTGGGTGCTAGTCCAATCTGTGCCTTAAATACTAGTGTCAGAATCTTGACCTGGACTCTGTATGTCAGTGGCACTGGGGGTATATGACCAATTTCTGTTCCCTTGTAGAACTAGAACTGATTACCCTGGCACCGGAGTTCTGGACCCTTTGAAGTTTGGTGATCAGATGTCGTAGTCCTTGTCTGCCACAGCCATTATATTGGACAAATTTACGATGGCATGGTAGCTTAAAATGCTCTTAGTACAACATCATACAGCCTGCCCTTTAAGTCATTATCATGTGACCTCTGACCTCATTTCTATTGGAGTCGGTCGGGTAGCCTAGTGGTTAAAGCGTTCGCTCGTCACGCAGAAGACCTGGGTTCGATTCCCGACATGGGTACAATGCGTGAAGCCCATTTCAGGTGTCCCCCACCATGATGTTGCTGGAATATTGCTAAAAGAGGCGTAAAACTATACTGAAAGGGTGAATACATTGAATCAGGTGGCCATGTATGGTGACTTGGTTGATTGGTCACCGATGGTGTAATCACTGCTCATGATTTCTGTCACTGATGCAGCAAAACTATTGCTGAATGATGCATTTAACAACATTCAGACTCATGTTTTCAGTCACTGGTTTGCAGCAGTAGAAAGTCCACTTGTCTTATAATGATAACATATAGCAAAACCCGTAATAAAGGCAAATTTCTACACATCCTTATGATACCTTAACTATTGGGCAGTTTGACAAGGACTACAGGACTTAAAAGTGCCAATTTCTAACGCTGGTTTGCCTGGTCAAGCTTTGGTTATGTACAGGCTAAATATGAATATTCCTCCAGGAATAACTTTGACTAAGTCTTCAAAAACTTGATCCCTCATGATTTCACTCACTGGTTTGCCTGGTCCAGATTACCAGTACCATTGCTGAGAACATCATGAGTGAGTGAGTGAGTGAGTGAGTTTGATTTTACGCCGCTTTTAGCAATATTCCAGCAATATCACGGCGGGGGACACCAGAAATGGGCTTCACACATTGTACCCATGTCAGGAATCGAACCCGGGTCTTCGGTCTGATGAGCGAACGCTTTAACCACTAGGCTACCCCACCGCCCCTTATTGATCAGAGGAGTGTTCATTTCAACTTGGGAATAACAACACAATTCTGTTGTTGCACCTTTAACTTGTCATCAGAAGCAGCCTCCAATCACAGACCCAGATAGGCATTCAAGCAAACATGTCCTGTACAAATCAGACCACCCCAATTTAACAGTCTGAGCAGACAATATCCACAAAATCAATGAGGCCATGGCAGCTTCTGTTAAATCTTTAATTGCTTTTTCCTGCAGGCCTTGTGTGATCAAAGGAAACTTTCTGGTCACAGCGTTCAGATCCAAATCTTGTTTACATGGGATATTAAAGTATGCTAATGTCTATCAATCAAAACGTTCCAATTGTGACCTCTAACTAGTAAAACCAGAAAAAGGAATTTGCATCACATGAACAACCAGAAACAACCTTCTCCCTCCCTTTAATCTTAATGCCAAACACTTGTAATAATAACACTTGATCTTCTAAGTTTATGACTCAAAATCTCACTATGAAACTAAAAGACAGGTATCAAGTACTCCAAGTCCCCAGAAACTCACGGTCGAATACACCGGTCAACTCACAGTGCAACCTTGACCTTAAAATAGTGACACATTAAGGATGAACGTATTAATAAAAATTAAAATGTTAGACAACTGCCTCTTTATCACATGAATAAAATGGATCTTGCTTTCATTCCTAAAATCTTTGATTGGCCAAGGGTGTTTTTTTGTTTTTTTGTTTAACGCTGCACTCAGAAACATTTCAGCTTTATGACAGCGGCCCGCTAAAAATTGAGTAAGTGATCGATATTATGACCAACAATCCACGTTGTCACGGTATGATGACACACTATCAACCAAGTCACTGAGCCTGACCAACCAATCAATTTGGTTGCCTCTTACGACCAGCATCGCTTCCTTGCAGCGTATTCTAACTCTGAATTCCTAATGAACGGTTCATGATGACATTGACTCAAGAAGATGTCGGCCAGATCAGTCAATATCAACAAACACAATGTCACACATTGTCACTTGACACTTGACTCAAACGAACCTGGGAGGGATTTTCTAGATGATAACAAAATGATGGATATTGACCAAATTTGATATTCACTCATAAAGGACAGGGAGAAGACAACTTTGCAGAGTCACTTGCCAATGACCTTCAATTGTTTCCAGCTGTCAGATTTAGGACATACAAATTCGGACAACAACATCAACTGTTTTCAGATGTGTGCATGATTGTTTTTGAGAGTATTCGTTATCCGGAAATTTAATTTTGAACTAAAAGAATGTCAAAGGTTTTAACTTTGTACATAAAAAACTTAACAATTCTCTGTAATTATCCCTAGCACTCTCATTTTTCATGTACTCAAACAGGTGGGTCACGGAAGACATGATGTCATGATAAATCACTGAAAACACTTGTTTCCATGACAACCAAACCTATAATGAGTGGTGGAATGCAAAAAAACAAACAAAACACAATTTCTACACAGTGAAACGGTATGTCAAAGGACATGGAAAGGCCTTCAAAACCTACATACATTACATGAAACCACTGATACTGAGGAAATAAGGTGAGGTACGGTGAAAGGGGGTTTAATGTCACGTTCAAGATTATTGCACTTATATAGCGACGTGCATGCACGTTTGTGTGTGTGTGTGTGTGTGTGTGGCTGCTTGTACTAGTCCGGACTGATGCCGATTTATAGTGCTAGCTCACTGAGATACCATGCCGCAATTTAACATGAATACCCCACTCAGACACAGTATACTGACTCCGAGCCGACCAGTCCTTGTTTTAGCCCCTTAATGCCGAGTGCCAGACAGGGTAACAACAAGTACCATCTTTTAACATCTTTTGGTATGACGTGGCCGGGAATTGAACCCTGGACCTTTCGCTCTTCGGGTGTACACTCTACCACTAGACCCCAGAGGCGGTCCGTGGACATAAGGTAGTGAGGAGCTGTGTATTTTGAAGAAGGGAGCATTCATTATTTGGTCAAATAAATGTCAGGACATGAACTCAAAATGACATGTACGTTGATTCTTCTGAAAAAGAATTAAGTTTACAATAGTTATCTCCCTTTGTACACAAGAGTTATTTCCCTTTATTAACACCTACCCTGTTCCTTCCCTTGCGCTCCACACAGCAGCACAGCAGCTGTAGACGACGGTCCCAACTCTCCTCGTACGCTCGGAATGCCTTCCTGTAAACACACACCAACACCAATCACATCAACATGGACACTGCATACTAACACATGGGCATAATGTCAATTTAAACGAAAGAGCTTAAAAAAACCTTTGATAGACGTCTTTCTACATTCAGTTATATGCAGCAGTTGATGAAACTGATTATTTTTTTATTGAAATTAAATATATTTTCAAAAATCATTTGACGCTAGATCTACAGCTATTTTTTTCAAGATACATATATTATTATGCAAATCTGCAACTATTCATGCAAGTTTCTTCTGACATAAAGAAACCCAAATAAAAATAGATTTTACTTGCATCTGGCCTTATCAAATGTGTCTGCTGGAATTTATAATACCATAATGGCCAGATTAAATATTTTTTTATTTTATCTCTTTCACAAAGTAACATGCTGTATTTGGTAGCAACATTTCAGATTAAATTTAATCCTGCTGAAAATGCTTGTGGACATATAATTAGTTTGTTTCAGAATTCATTACCCCTGAATATAACACTCCATTTTTTACAGGAAGATTGAGCAAACTGATTTCCAAGCCAACTTAAGGACTCCACAAATAAAGTTAAAATTTACTTTGAATTTCATGATCAGAATACTTTGAATTTCATGATCAAAATACTTTCAATTTCATGATCAAAATACTTTCAATTTCATGATCAAAATAGATTCAACATTAATACAAGGAAATATCAAAATATGATTCAAACACCATGCTGCATAACGAGTGTTTCAGAAATAACTAAACGGTACATAAGTCACATACAGAAATTCATTACTTGCTGAAAACAATGTATTAAACAGAGTATCAATAATAAGGTCAGGATGGTACTAATTAAACAGAACAAACATGACAGTGTTTATGGGTTAAAAAGTGCAGAAAATGTTAAAGTGTAACATATACCACTGCTTCATACATCTTAAAGTCCCTTCCTGTTACTGAAAACTTGATCTAAGTGCTACATCTGTCATAGGCCATGTTAATATATAGTAGTTACGGTTGTCTTACCGCTAAGATTGTGATGGCAGAATAAGTCTCTCTCTCAGTCGCTAGTGAATATATTAAAAAGGAATCCAACTCAAGTCTTGAACAATTGGGCAAGTCTTGATTGCCTCAGTTCTTGAACATTAAGCATTGTTCTGCGCTCCATGTGGATTATATATTTTTCATTTTGTGGATACATATTTTAAAAAAAGATAACAATATTTCTAGACTAGATAGATGTTCTTTGGTGGTCACCCATCCAAGTACGATCCAGATGTTCTTTGATGGTCACCAATCCAAGTACTATCCAGATGTTCTTTGGTGTTCTCCATCCAAGTACTATCCAGATGTTCTTTGGTGGTCACCCATCCAAGTATGATCCAGATGTTCGTTGATGGTCACCCATCCAAGTACAATTCAGATGTTCTTTGGTGTTCTCCATCCAAGTACTATCCAGATGTTCTTTGGTGTTCTCCATCCAAGTACTATCCAGATGTTCTTTGGTGGTCACCCATCCAAGTACGATCCAGATGTTCTTTGGTGTTCTCCGTCCAAGCTAGATCCAGATGTTCTTTGGTGGGCACCCATCCAAGTATGATCCAGATGTTCTTTGGTGTTCTCGGTCCAAATACTATCCAGATGTTCTTTGGTGTTCTCCATCCAAGTACTATCCAGATGTTCGTTGATGGTCACCCATCCAAGTACTATCCAGATGTTCTTTGGTGTTCTCCATCCAAGTACTATCCAGATGTTCTTTGGTGTTCTCCATCCAAGTACTATCCAGATGTTCTTTGATGGTCACCCATCCAAGTACAATTCAGATGTTCTTTGGTGTTCTCCATCCAAGTACTATCCAGATGTTCTTTGGTGTTCTCCATCCAAGTACTTTCCAGATGTTCTTTGGTGGTGTCAATCCAAGTATGATCCAGATGTTCTTTGGTGTTCTCCATCCAAGTACTATCCAGATGTTCTTTGGTGTACTCCATCCAAGTACTATCCAGATGTTCTTTGGTGGTCACCCATCCAAGTACTATCCAGATGTTCTTTGGTGGTGTCAATCCAAGTACTATCCAGGTGTTCTTTTGTGGTCACCAATCCAAGTACGATCCAGATGTTCTTTGGTGGTCACCCATCCAAGTATGATCCAGATGTTCTTTGGTGTTCTCCATCCAAATACTATCCAGATGTTCTTTGGTGTTCTCCATCCTAATACTATCCAGATGTTCTTTGGTGGTCACCCATCCAAGTACGATCAAGATGTTCTTTGGTGGTCACCCATCCAAGTACTATCCAGATGTTCTTTGGTGTTCTCCATCCAAGTACTATCCAGATGTTCTTTGGTGTTCTCCATCCAAGTACTATCCAGATGTTCTTTGGTGGTCACCCATCCAAGTACTATCCAGATGTTCTTTGGTGGTCACCCATCCAAGTACGATCAAGATGTTCTTAGGTGGTCACCCATCCAAGTACTATCCAGATGTTCTTTGGTGTTCTCCATCCAAGTACTTTCCAGATGTTCTTTGGTGGTCACCCATCCAAGTATGATCCAGATGTTCTTTGGTGGTCACCCATCCAAGTACAATCCAGATGTTCTTTGGTGGTCACCCATCCAAGTATGATCCAGATGTTCTTTGGTGTTCTCCATCCAAGTACTATCCAGATGTTCTTTGGTGTTCTCCATCCAAGTACTATCCAGATGTTCTTTGGTGGTCACCCATCCAAGTACTATCCAGATGTTCTTTGGTGGTGTCAATCCAAGTACTATCCAGGTGTTCTTTTGTGGTCACCAATCCAAGTACGATCCAGATGTTCTTTGGTGGTCACCCATCCAAGTATGATCCAGATGTTCTTTGGTGTTCTCCATCCAAATACTATCCAGATGTTCTTTGGTGTTCTCCATCCTAATACTATCCAGATGTTCTTTGGTGGTCACCCATCCAAGTACGATCAAGATGTTCTTTGGTGGTCACCCATCCAAGTACTATCCAGATGTTCTTTGGTGTTCTCCATCCAAGTACTATCCAGATGTTCTTTGGTGTTCTCCATCCAAGTACTATCCAGATGTTCTTTGGTGGTCACCCATCCAAGTACTATCCAGATGTTCTTTGGTGGTCACCCATCCAAGTACAATCAAGATGTTCTTAGGTGGTCACCCATCCAAGTACTATCCAGATGTTCTTTGGTGGTCTCCATCCAAGTACTATCCAGGTGTTCTTTGGTGGTCACCAATCCAAGTATGATCAAGATGTTCTTTGGTGGTCACCCATCAAAGTACTATCCAGGTGTTCTTTGGTGGTCACCCATCCAAGTACTATCCAGATGTTCTTTGGTGGTCACCCATCCAAGTACGATCAAGATGTTCTTTGGTGGTCACCCATCCAAGTACTATCCAGATGTTCTTTGGTGTTCTCCATCCAAGTACTATCCAGATGTTCTTTGGTGGTCACCCATCCAAGTACTATCCAGATGTTCTTTGGTGGCCACCCATCCAAGTACTATCCAGATGTTCTTTGGTGGTCACCCATCCAAGTACTATCCAGATGTTCTTTGGTGGTGTCAATCCAAGTACTATCCATACTCGTCATTGCCACCAGTTCTAGACCAGGCAATCCCTATGTTAGCCATTCTTGACACTTTCTAACCACAAGTACTGGAAATTTATTTTGTCTTCAATCTCAATGATTTCCAGATTTAAAGCTTTTTGATAATATTAATGAACAATATTTTTGGGTGATGTCAGCCTATTATCATTAACAGAGCAACGGGACAAACAAGAGACTTTTGAAGCAGTGCAATTGGCATACAAACATATGTGAATTGTTTTCCACTGATGGAGACACGAGAAGGTGATAGCATAGACATACAGATGTACATCTTTGGTAATACACTTAAAGTATTCCATTGACCTTCACCGAGTTCCTGCTACACCAGTACTTGATACTAACACAACACATACATACCAAAACAAATGTGAAAACATATCAATTATATCTCAGGCATATTAAAGTGAAGCAAGCCATGGCAATTTGCAATATACTTTGTCATTAAAAGCTGAACAGAGAGAGAGAGAGTGATGTAACGAAAGTAGCGCCATCGCATCTCCAGTTTCCTAGGTACTCTATCAGTCAGGAGCCACCATGTGTGAGGTTAGTAGGCATACAACAGCATTAGTTTGTGTGCTTGTTGTTTAACGCCGTCTCAGCAATATTCCATCTATATGACAGCGGTCTGTAAATAATCGAGTCTGGACCAGACAATCCAGTGATTTACATCATGAGCATCGATCCACAAAATTGGGATATGATGACATGACTAAGTCAATGAGCCTGACCACCCGATCCCATCAATCGCCTCTTACGACAAGCATGGGTTGCAAAAGATCTATTCTCACCCAGGTCTTTACAAGTATAAACGGCATCAGCTGCCAGCACTGTCACGGAGAGACAGGACTGCCATCCAATGCACACAGTACACACTACATTACGAGATAGGGGACAGTGAGGGTGAAACTGTTGCAGACGAAAGTACAACTACAATATTAATTACATCAAGGTAAACAATTTTCAACGAGGACCTGATGGTTGAAGGTTTGAAATGTCCACGTCATATAGTGAGAAGATACTCTATAAATAATACACCAGTCATGATGACAGCAGTTCTACAATAGCTCAGCAGAGATGATCATCCTCAGATACCACCTGGCATATTTATAATGAGACTTACCTGAGTGTGTGTCATTGATTTTGTGAGAGAGTGAGCTGGGTTTAACGCCACTTTTAACAGTATTCCAGTTTTATTGCGGCGTGTCAGCTTAATGTGGAAGGAAAGCCCGAAGTGATGAAGGTCTCCGACGTTTACCACTTCGTTGAAACCCACGAGCATGGGTATGGTGCTGACAAACCTAGAAACATAATCAGGGCGAACCGGAATTCGAACCCACATCATAGGTTTCTGGCGTGCCCAAGGGACGCAACTCTACACAGCGAATCGTGGCGCCTTAGACGACGGGGCCACCCGTGCCCCCGTCATTGATTTTGTGAAACAAGGAGTGGAAGGTTTGTGTTTTAACATACAAAAAGTCTCAAATATTAGGCAGAAAATTTTGGGATATGGAAACAAATGTATTAATCTCCTTGCTGTTCACACATTATGATACACTGTTGTGTAACAGTGTAAAATTAGACAAGAGGGGTGAGTAAATGTTGCTTTAAGCCACATCGGCTATTCGCAGCTCAGAGACAAAAAAGGCAACACTGATATTGTGATATGTTACGATTGTGACATCATTACAATTGTAACATTATTTAACACTGATCTCAACAATGCTGGCTGTATTCCAACTTCAATGAAATTATTACATGTGTGCTTTGTATGCTTTTTTATTTATTTGTTCATCTAGAATGATATGGACAATAACTATCTCTGCTCACACACAGCCACTAGACCATATAACATTGAATTGATTGATTGACTGATTGATTTGTTGTTTAACGCCGCACTCAGCAATATTCCAGCTATATGAAGGCAGTCTGTAAATAATCGAGTCTGGACCAGACAATCCAGTGATTGATATCATGAGCATCGATCCACCCAATTGGGATCGATGACATGCATCAACCAGCCTGACCACCCGATCCCGTTAGTCGCCTTTAACAACAATCGTAGTCGCCTTTTACGGCAAGCATGGGTTGCTGAAGACCTATTCTACCCCGGAATCTTCACGGGTCATTTAACACTGAAGAATTCAGAGACTGTTAATTATTAAAAATAGTGCTTTTGCTTCACTAAACTAGATAGTGTTCGCAGGCAAACAAAGTGTCATGATGATGTCACTCATTGTTCTTGCTGTTGATGCTAAGCCAGGAATTCACTGGCCATTCTGAGCGCCGCTTTTAGCAATATTCCAGCAATATCACGGCAGGGGAGACCAGAAATGGGCATCACACATTGTACCCATATGGGGAATCAAACCCGGGCCTTAGGCATGACGAGCAAACACTTTGACCACCAGGCTACCCCACCGCTCCTGGCCGTTCTGAATGTGCATTTAAAGCAAGTTAAAATGACACAACAATAGGCCATGATGCAAACTTATAGAGAAATATTAATTCAACCATGTGGTATTAGTCTGAAAAATCACTCGAATCTGTTCATTCTGGAAGTAGATTTGGGCTTGCTGATTCTACTCCTGGGGACAACAGATTTTCACGATTTCTTGATAACAGATATACCTGTTAGAACCTGAGGATGATTCATATAGCTTTATAGATCTGCAGTCTCTGACATCTACAATTAGTATGACTTGAGAAATGTTAGAGAGAGATAGAATCTTTGAGAGATAGCACAGTTATGTTGTTGTCTAGGAGATAGGATGGCGAAACCTGATACCTGCGGAACTTTTGATGGAAAAATTCCTTTATTAGCCTAGACCTGGGAAGCAAACAGAAATAGAATCACAAACAGAAAAGACAAAGCATTCAGGATCAACAAACAAAACAATGGCTGATATATGTCAGATATGTATACACAAACCAGTCAGGTCCGAAACCAGAATTCTTTCGGAGTTGTGCTCAACTGGGTTATGTGCTGTCCCTTGCATCACATAACAGCCTACTTCCTCAAAAAGTCATGTGACCTATCAACATGTCACATTTTTTCTTCACTCATCATTACTTGTCAATATTACCTTCCAGAAACTACTTTCATGGAATCAGATGCCTCATATGACCTCTGACCTTGATATTGAAAAATTTGGATGGCAATTAACTTGACATAAGTTTGTGACTGAGTATGGTCTTATGCCGCTTTTAGAATATTCCAGGAATATCACAGCGGGGGACACAAGAAATGAGCTTCCCATGTACCCATGTGAGGAATCGAACCCATGTTTTCGGCGTCACAGGCGATGCTTTGACCACTACGCTACGTCACCGCCCACATGTGTGTGTAGAATACATTACCTGCAATTTATTTTGTTTCAAATTCTACCGAAGCCTAATTCTCTAGAATATTGTTTTGAACCCAATCAAATGTATTTTGTTGACTGTATTCATATGGTTTAGATTTTAATCCTTTTTTCATGTTTACAACCATATCTACATAGTTATTTTGTGAAAACCATCAATATTTTTTGAGTGAGTGAGTGAGTGAGTAAGTATGGTTTTACGCCGCTTTTAGCAATATTCCAGTAATATCATGGCGGGGGACACCAGAAATGGGCTTCACACATTGTACCAATGTCGGGAATCGAACCCGGGTCTTTGGTGTGACGAGCGAACGCTTTAAACACTAGGCTGCCCGACCGCCCCCAATATTTTTTAAAGTCATGAATGGAACTAGAAGAAGGACAACTTGTAGCCATCATCTCATCACGCTCATTACTAAACCTGACCTGTCTTTTATGAAAGTCTCTGTATATACCAAAGTTGATCAAAATCCATACCTATTTGTTCATGTTATCCAGAAGCATTAATTGGAGCACAATGGTGTCATGGACACCGGAGGGAGCGCCATCTTCTTAGCTCTACCAGTCTGTGACAAGCTGAGCCATGTTCATAAATAACTGTTTCCGCACTTGTGCACATCTCTCATAAAACAGAAGAAGTAGCTAGCAAGCTAACCAGTACAGAAGTGGGACCCACCATTGATTTCACCCATCCTCTCACTCAAACCAAGAACCCATCTTTCATCCACCAAAAGGCGGCGCCCACATCGGCCAAGAGCCCATCCCCCAAAAGACCCTGTCCATCTTGACGAAGAACCCTTCCCGCAACCAACAAGAAGACACTGCCCAGAGATATGTTCAGATAGGCGGGCGATCGCATGAGAGAGCAGGGAGGCAATACGAGTCCTTCTTGAACGGAAGGCGCAGGCTCGCTCTCACGGCACAGCATCCAAAATGGCGTCGCTGGGGATCAAAACAGCCCCATCCACAAGTGTAACAGGTTCACCCTTTAAATTTCATCACAAGTATGATGGGTTCAAACTTTGGTGTTCATTATAACAAAGTGTTTATTTATAATATTGAAACTATTTATTTGTTTGTGTGTTGTTTAAAGTCGCACTCAGCAATATTCCAGCTATATGACGGCGGTCTGTAAATAATCGAGTCTGGACCAGACAATCCAGTGATTGACATCATGAGCATTGATCAACGGAATATGGGATATGATGACATCCTGACCTCCCGATCCTCTTACGACAAGCATAGTTTCATTTAACGTGGGTTGCTGAACCCCTATTCCCTATACAGATCTTCACAGGTCAATACATTAAAAAGGCAATGAAACTTTTGAATTGTTGATCAAGTCTAAAAGATTATTCTTTGGACATCGGTTCAATTCCAGTCAAAGGGAAAGATTTGTACAATGTGTGACACCATCTTGGATTACAAGGCGAACTACCTCCCGGGCTTGACCGCGAGTAAACGAGAGTGATCGTGCAGTCATCTGTCTTAAACAGTGTGCACATGCGTACTATCGCAATTGCCCGCCCTCCTGAACACGCCTCAGGTGTCTTCTATGGTAAGTAAACTATATCACAGTGGCCTCATTAAGTCTTGGCAAGGAAAACCAGTGGTAAAGAGCATGAGCAAAACATAGCTGCGACCTATTCTAACTTGGAATCTCTGTCTGATGGCAACATACAGTATTAGCATGTCATCCACAGACATTCATTCCCATGCAAATTCAAGTACATTTCAAGAATTCAAATTTTCTGTACTTGTGTCAAAGGGTTTCTATTGAATGACAAGCCTGTTTTCAACAATCACCATCTAAAAGCACAAAAGCTAACATCCTTTCCTGATGTTGAAAGAGCAAGTGATAAAGGTTTTAAAGCAGATGATTTCTACATATTTTTTTCTACCATCAGGAATTTACAGCATATATCTAAATATGACTAAATATCCACTTGATTTAATGAGTGAGTGAGTTGGGTTTAACGCCGCTTTTAACAGTATTCCAGTTATATCGCGGCGTGTCAGCTTAATGTGGGAGGAAAGCCCAAAGTGATGCAGGTCTCAGACGTTTACCACTTCGGTGAAACCCATGAGCACTGGTATGGTGCTGACAAACCTAGAAACATAAGCGGGGCGAACTGGGATTCGAACCCACAATCAAAGGTTTCTGGCGTGGCCAAGGGACGCAACTCTTCACAGCGAATCGCGGCTCCTGAGAAGAATGGGCCACCCGTGCCCCCTTGATTTAATGAGAAAGCAGTCATAATACCCACCATCATAATAAAGAGATTCAAGGACAGGACTTGACCAAAAATAGGATTATAAGAATTGTTGAAAAACCAATATCCAATTTCTCAAAAATACTAAATAAATCACCTCCATCGCAATCCCTACCACGAACAAAGTAGAAAAGGTCAAATCCTTTCAAAGAAGTTTTCAAGGCGACCACCAGACTTGAGGTGCTTCCTCTGCTGTAGGTTTGTGCACCCTCTTCCATCACCAGGCTAAATCAAAGCTGATCCTAACTTGATTAACTCACACACCATTATTCTCAACCGGATTATCCAATTTGAACCCAAAAAATGTTGTTACATGTCACTGAGATTAGGAGGAAAAAATAATTCTTCATTAAACCAATGTTGCCAAGAAACAGAGACTAGCCTTTCCTGCGTAAGAAATGCAGGAAATTAAGCGGCGAGAAGAATGTAGGAAGGAACAAATAGCTTGGAGGGAAATAAAAAACAAATACTGTTGAGATTGGAAACACCTTTTTTTTTTAGAAAAATAGAAACGAGCCATAATGAAATGAAGGTACTTTTTAATCCTTTTTTAATATGATTGAAACACACTGGCTGACAGAATTGGAATTACTGAGGAAAGCTTGTACATCTGAATGGAAATCCTTTGAAGCAGATTTCTTCTTCACATTGATCAATCATCTTCATTTTCCCAGGGGCACCCATACAAGTTCTACAGGAGATACAAACACTCAGAATCCCCAAGTCAATCATGAGATACACAACTTCTGGGCGGCACCCATACAAGTCCTACACACACTCAGAATCCCCAAGTCAATCATGAGATGCACAACTTCTGGGGCACCCATACACCCAGACAAGTCCTACACACACTCAGAATCCCCAAGTCAATCATGAGATACACAACTTCTGGGGGGCACCCATACAAGTCCTACACACACTCAGAATCCCCAAGTCAATCATGAGATACACAACTTCTGGGAGGCACCCAGACAAGTCCTACACACACTCAGAATCCCCAAGTCAATCATGAGATACAAAACTTCTGGGGGGGCACCCATACAAGTCCTACACACACTCAGAATCCCTAAGTCAATCATGAGATACACAACTTCTGGGCGGCACCCATACAAGTCCTACACACACTCAGAATCCCCAAGTCAATCATGAGATGCACAACTTCTGGGGCACCCATACACCCAGACAAGTCCTACACACACTCAGAATCCCCAAGTCAATCATGAGATACACAACTTCTGGGGGGCACCCATACAAGTCCTACACACACTCAGAATCCCCAAGTCAATCATGAGATACACAAGTTCTGGGGGGCACCCAGACAAGTCCTACACACACTCAGAATCCCCAAGTCAATCATGAGATACACAAGTTCTGGGGGGCACCCAGACAAGTCCTACACACACTCAGAATCCCCAAGTCAATCATGAGATACACAACTTCTGGGGCACCCATACACCCAGACAAGTCCTACACACACTCAGAATCCCCAAGTTAATCATGAGATACACAACTTCTGGGGGGGCACCCATACAAGCCCTAGACACACTTAGAATCCCCTAGACAATCACAAGACACCTGCACACGCTATACCCCAAAGTAACAAGTACCGGTAATGCTGTAATTGTGCTATACGCAATACAGTAATTGTGCTATATGCAACCAAGCATGATCTGTTCCACTTAATCATTATTTGAGATGCACAGTCCAGTACTTTTCACAAGGACTTCTTTCTTTTACTACAATCTAGTTATGATAAAACGTAAAAAAAGTCTCATGTTTGCACAAAATCATATTCTGTTTTACATAAAGAAAGTATATACACATCTGACATACATACATCATGTCAAATTCAAAACAACAGAATGTGAAAATAACATGCACAATTCACATCAAATAAAAGAAAACATCCTAAATATTGTAAAATTAAAATCAAATGCATTCAACAAAGCTCTAGGATATATGCCTGCACAAATCAACAAATCATTCATCAAATGAACAAACAGAAGGGAGGCAACTTAACAACTCAGACTTTGAGTGATGAAAACCTTTGGATGTGAAGTGCAGTCGTGACAGAATCACCTGACTCTATTAACTATTGTATGTATATATCTAGCATGTATTGTATCGAGAAAATAATGTTTCTGATATTTTCTTAAATATTATCAATTAATTATCAATTAAAATTAACTATCCCAAATATATATGATGCTTCATCTTTAAGTGTGTGTGTGTGTGTGTGTGTGTGTGTGTGTGTGTGTGTGTGTGTGTGTGTGTGTTGTGGTGGTGTTTGGGTTGTGTGTGTGTGTGTGTGTGTGTGTGTGTGTGTGTGTGTGTGTGAATGAGCGAGTGAGTATGGTTTTACGCCACTTTGAGCAGTATCCCAGCAACATCACGGTGAGGGACACCAGAAATGGGCTTCACACATTGTACCCATGTCGGGAATCGAACCCGGGTCTTCAGCGTGACGAGCAAACGCTTTAACCACTAGGCTACCCGACCGCCCCTTGTGTGTGTGTGTGTGTGTGTGTTGTGGTGGTGTTGGGGTTGTGCGTGTGTTGTGGTGTTGTTCGGGTGGTGTGTGTGTGTGTGTGTGTGTGTGTGTGTTGTGGTGGTGTTGTGGTTGTGTGTGTGTGTTGTGGTGGTGTTTGGGTTGTGTGTGTGTGCGTGTTGTGATGGTGTTGGGGTTGTGTGTGTGTGTTGTGGTGTTGTTGGGGTTGTGTGTGTGTTGTGGTGGTTTTGGGGTTGTGTGTGTGTGTGTGTTGGGGTTGTGTGTGTGTGTTGGGGTTGTGTGTGTGTGTTGTGGTGGTGTTGGTGTTGTTTGTCTGTGTTGTGGTGGTGTTTGGGTTGTGTGTGTGTGTTGTGGTGGTGGTGTGTGTGTTTTGTTGGTGTTGTGTGTGTTGTGGTATTGTTGTGATTTTGTGTATGTGTGCATGTGTAAAGGAGGTGTGTGTGTTAGGGCTGGGACGAGTCCAGATTTACTGTCCGATTGGGAATAGTTTGACCATACCCCTGACAAAATGTATTTAGATGAATATATAAAATGACCTGGGCATGTTGACTGAAGCTTTATCTTTATCCAGACATATGCTGAGTAAAGTCAGAAAGATTACATGCATGGTTAGAAAGCAATGCAAACATGAGTCACTTCTAATGTAACCATAGAGTTCTAGATAATTTTTGCCATTAAACAATATATCACATGGGTAACCATGGGTCCGGGTAGTCCTGTGGGTACCCGGGTCCTACTCAGTACCCACCTGACCCGAATTACCCGTCCCAGCCCTAGTACCAGGTGGTCCTGTGGGTACCCGGGTCCTACTCAGTACCCACCGAACCCGAGTACCCCAGTAACCAAGTTACCCATCCCAGCCCTAGTGTGTGTGTGTGTGTGTGTGTGTGTGTGTGTGTGTGTGTGTGTGTGTGTGTGTGTGTGTGTGTGTGTGTGTGTGTGTGTGTGTGTGTAAATCATGTGGACTTACAACGGTCCAGCATCTATCAGCCTATTCCTGTACATGCTTATTTCCTATTGACCAGTTAGCTGCAAATCATAGTCCCCGAGGGATAGACAATTCAAGGACATCCAAGGAACAAAACAGAATTAGAAAAAATCAGCAAAGGCCATGAGGAATCCCACAACTAAATACCACAACTTGAAAAAGACCGAAAGGCTTTGTTCTTGAAATAATACCCTTTGTAAAATCAAGAAAAAAACTCTTTCTTCACTAAAGTTTGCCACAAACCTTATGAAATTAACAAATCAAAATTCCTTCTGCAAAACTTCATGAGTTTTATTTTGAGAGAATTTCTAATTTCTCACCTGTGGGAGCCCTGTCATAACTAATTGGAGATGCAGCACTTCAAACATACCATCTCATAACTGAAGTTAGTCCCACTTACAAAGTAAGTAAACCAAGTGTATACCTCTGGCGCCAGTTCCTGCGAGTACTCCCAGAGATCCTGCGATTCCCTCGTCGCTTCTCCTTTAGGCTGTCTTGGTATTTCTTCATCTTCACCCATTTTCTGCCTGCTGAGTCAAACGTGCACCAAAGGGAGACGATCACTATCAGCATCACCAACCAGTTGCATACGATCACACCTGTAAAATGTTAAAACATGAAGTAGACACTTCAGTTATGAGAGTACTTCATTTACAAATCATCATAGCCATGTAAAACTTGTCACTTTTAGCAAGATTCCAGCAATATTCCAGCAATATCACAGCGGGAACACCAGAAATGGCATTCACACATTTTACCCATGTTGAGAATAGAACCCGGGTCTTCGTCGTGGCGAGTGAACGCTTTAACCACTCGGCTACTCCACCACCCCTTGTTACTTAAATATAGATTCATCCTCTATTATCCAGGGGTTATATAGCCTTTCTATAAATACTCTGGACCATCCTCTCCCATACAGAGATGGTAATTAGCACAAGCCAGCGAGCCTGGACCAGTTATGATAATGTTAAAGGTATCCTAAGGGCAAATAGAATTTCAAATATATTTGTGCATAGTGCGATGTGTTAGACCGCCTCACTGCTCTAGTGATAGAGCATCCACCTGGAGAGAGGAATGTCCGGGGTTCGAACGTTAGCCGCATCATACCAAAACACACTACACGGTGGTACTTGATGTTACCCTGTCTGGAGCTCGGCATTAAGGGGCTAAAACAAGGACTGGTAGGATCGGTGTCTGAGTGGGGTATTCATGTTAAACTGCGGCATGGTATATCAGTGGGCTAGCACTATAAATCGGCATCAGTCTGGACTAGTACAAGCAGCCACACACACGCACGCACACACACACGTACATGCATGCAACTCACTATATAAGTACAATAATTTTGGACGCGACGTTAAAACCCAATTTCCCCTCACCTCATCGATATGTTATCACTAATTGGACTGGCAGATGTCCTTGGTTAATTTCCATCCCTGTCTGGTTCAAATCATATAACACTAACAATAGCTGTTCTGCCAAATTACACTATTACTGCATGACATAAGCAGCGATATTACCAGTACTTGACTGCTTGTTGCACATGGTTTCAAATAAATCTGGGAATTTCTGGCAGAACAAGGGCTTAAATCCTCAGAGCTAAAAGATAAGTTATGACATGTGCAAGAGGTTTTGGCAGCAAGATACTATTACTTGCACAACTGATTACGGATAGTTGACAGTGAAGTGGACTTCTGTTGAAAATCTGAAGATTTTATAGTGTGAACACAGCCAAAATACAGAATTTATGCCGATGATGTAATAGAGGTAGGATATTCAGAGGAAGTATATCCTATTTGGCTAAAGGTTAAGTGACAACAGTCTTCTGATTTACTTTAACGAGGGACCAATCATACAAGGCTGTTGCTTTGAAAATAGGTCCACAAAACTGAACGATCATTCAGAAGAGCTGTGTGGAATCGGTTGTTGATTTTTGGCTTATGAGTAGGAAAATGTGATGCTGAGAAAGTTGAGGAAATCGGGAGATGGTGACGCTAGGTGACGAAATAACGCCAGGGTTGCAGATGGGTCCAAATTTATGAAAACAGAATTGAGAAAATTACACTGGATAATCGAGGGGTTACACAAATAATACATCTGCATTCTCAAAACACGTAAGTGATGTATCAGAACTGGAATAAACAGATGAATCTCACTAATGATCATGACTAAAAATTTGTGGAAGGCCTTAAAACAAAATTGTTCAAACTGTCACTGACTTGAATTTAGTTTCCTTTCAAGAAGAAAAAGATCAGTCTTAAGAACTTAGAGTGCCAGCAGGAAAACTGTGAGTGACAATCTTCAAGAAAAAGCAAGGACACAAGAAAAATTTTATGTCATGAGATTTACGCATTAAGGATGGTGTTCGATACAGTTCTCTACAGATACACACTACAGGCAGCCTTGAAGACTTTACGGCTGGTGGCTACATTTCTATACAGATACACACCTAGGATGGCTTTCTTTACAGCTGGAGGCTACATTACTACACAGATACACACCTAGGACGGCCTTCTTTACAGCTGGAGGCTACAGTACTACACAGATACACACCTAGGACGGCCTTCTATACAGCTGGAGGCTACAGTACTACACAGATACACACCTAGGACGGCCTTCTTTACAGCTGGTGGCTACAGTACTACACAGATACACACCTAGGACGGCCTTGTATACAGCTGGAGGCTACAGTACTACACAAATACACACCTAGGACAGCCTTCTATACAGCTGGAGGCTACAGTACTACACAGATACACACCTAGGACGGCCTTCTTTACAGCTGGTGGCTACAGTACTACACAGATACACACCTAGGACAGCCTTCTATACAGCTGGAGGCTACAGTACTACACAAATACACACCTAGGACAGCCTTCTTTACAGCTGGAGGCTACAGTACTACACAGATACACACCTAGGACAGCCTTCTTTACAGCTGGAGGCTACAGTACTACACATATACACACCTAGGACAGCCTTCTTTACAGCTGGAGGCTACAGTACTACACAGATACACACCTAGGACGGCCTTCTATACAGCTGTAGGCTACAGTACTATACAGATACACACCTAGGACAGCCTTCTTTACAGCTTGAGGCTACAGTACTACACAGATACACACCTAGGACAGCCTTCTTTACAGCTGGAGGCTACAGTACTACACAGATAGACACCTAGGATAGCCTTCTTTACAGCTGGAGGCTACAGTACTACACAGATACACACCTAGGACAGCCTTCTTTACAGCTGGAGGCTACAGTACTACACAGATAGACACCTAGGATAGCCTTCTTTACAGCTGGTGATTACAGTACTACACAGATACACACCTAGGACGGCCTTCTTTACAGCTGGTGATTACAGGTCTATACAGATACACACCTAGGACAGCCTTCTTTACAGCTGGTGATTACAGGTCTATACAGATACACACCTAGGACAGCCTTCTTTACAGCTGGAGGCTACAGTACTACACAGATACACACCTAGGACGGCCTTCTTTACAGCTGGTGATTACAGGTCTATACAGATACACACCTAGGACAGCCTTCTTTACAGCTGGTGATTACAGGTCTATACAGATACACACCTAGGACAGCCTTCTTTACAGCTGGAGGCTACAGTACTACACAGATACACACCTAGGACGGCCTTCTTTACAGCTGGTGATTACAGTTCTATACAGATACACACCTAGGACAGCCTTCTTTACAGCTGGTGATTACAGTTCTATACAGATACACACCTAGGACAGCCTTCTTTACAGCTGGTGATTACAGGTCTATACAGATACACACCTAGGACAGCCTTCTTTACAGCTGGTGATTACAGTACTACACAGATACACACCTAGGACGGCCTTCTTTACAGCTGGTGATTACAGGTCTATACAGATACACACCTAGGACAGCCTTCTTTACAGCTGGTGATTACAGGTCTATACAGATACACACCTAGGACAGCCTTCTTTACAGCTGGAGGCTACAGTACTACACAGATACACACCTAGGACGGCCTTCTTTACAGCTGGTGATTACAGTACTACACAGATACACACCTAGGACGGCCTTCTTTACAGCTGGTGATTACAGGTCTATACAGATACACACCTAGGACAGCCTTCTTTACAGCTGGTGATTACAGGTCTATACAGATACACACCTAGGACAGCCTTCTTTACAGCTGGAGGCTACAGTACTACACAGATACACACCTAGGACAGCCTTCTTTACAGCTGGAGGCTACAGTACTACACAGATACACACCTAGGACGGCCTTCTTTGCAGATATTGGGTTGCAGGTGTTGAAGTGTTTGGCTGTCCACACGATGCCCACCACCAGCCACGCCAGCTCTCCCAGGAACACAACTGTAACACAACAACACAATGATCAGCCACACTCATGTACACACAGTTTCAACGAAAGGTGTCCCACTCACCATAATTACATGGTCTTAAGAACAGACCTGGACACAACTAACACAACAGTCACACTTCCTCCTCAGTTTATCAGCTGACAGTGGTGCCACTGCTGATCACCGTAATTAGTTGTCAGATCTTCCATCTCACCAGTGACCATCTGATTGTACTGGTCAACCCCACAGGAACTCAAACAACAGTAAGAGCCTGCTGGTCTTAAAGGGCAAGTTCACACAGAAATGAACCAATTTTTCTTGTACTTTTTCCACATTAAAAGTGTTAACATAGAAGTGTCATAGACAAAAATATAAAAACATCAAATTTAATTAACATATTTTTTGCATTAAAACGATTTATATTTTTCACATTTACCAAGTGTTCTATTTCCATAACAAAAACACCATGGCTTATGCCCCTTGCAATATGACGTCATTGGTGCCAATTGATAAACATTATGACGTCATCATGCTTTGTTAGAGCCGCTTCACGTGGTGTAGGTACAGTTTTGTGATTCTAGCGTCTCAGATGCCAGCCAGAATTGTGTTATGCTGAGTCACCACTGCGCCGAGTTTGTCGTAGACCATGTTGTTTTACCGCAAACTGGTCCTTGATATCTTTTGCGTTGAGAATAGACAGGGACCCAGTTGAATTGGCACCAATTACGTCATAATCTAAGGGGGATAACTCAGCCCTATTTCGCTCGTAAAACGAAGGCCTCATAACGGCATATCATTTTAACACTATTGTGAGCTTCCTACTTTCACTGTGAAAAAAATGAGTGTATATTTTCAAACACAGATACTAACTTATTCTAAAATTGCGTTTTGTTAAGAAAAAGAAAGAAAGTGATTTTTGCGTGTACACTTCCCCTTTAAGGATAAATGAATGCACACTGTCATCCTCATCCGTCTTACTGATTAGGGTACCAGAATATATTGCATGGTGTCCCCTGACTTCACTAAAACGTCTGGTGGATAAACAGGTGTCATTACTAACTACTGAAATTTGGTTGTTGATTCTGTCCCAAACGGCTAGTCCAGTCGCTGGCCTGGCGACTGGCCAGGACATGTATACACAGACTATAGCCATGAAGGTGAACTGGTCAGTGAAATGGGGTTCAAGGTCGCGCTCAAGATTATTGCACTTATATATATCGATTTGCATAAACGTGTGTGTGGCCATGTCTGGACTAATGCCAGTTTCAAAGTGTTTTAGCCCACAGAGATACTATGCCACTGTTTAACATGGATACCCCACTCAGACACATTATACTAACTCTGTGCTGAGCCATGGGTCCTGATGTTTTTATCCCCTTGATGCCGAGCGCCAGGCAGGGTAAAAACAAGTACATCTGTTTATGTCTCTTGGTATGACACGGCCAGGGGATCGAACCCGGACTGCTCTCCGTGAAGGCAGAGGCTGTATTGACCACACTATGGTAGTGGTTACACAGTAATAATGAATTGTCAGGACATATATTACATTTATATTACAGGACATATATCCCACTTATATTAAAGGACATATATTTCCCCTGTATTACAGGATGTATATTACTTATATTCAGGACATATATTTCCCCTATATTACAGAACATTTTATACAAATTATATTACAGGACATATATTTTCCCTATATTACAGGACATAAATTACACCTATTTTACAGGACATATATTTCCCCTATATTACAGGACATATTTTACACTTATATTACAGGACATATATTTCCCCATATATTACAGGACATATATTACACTTATATTACAGGACATATATTATTACACTTATATTACAGGACATATATTTCCTCATATATTACAGGACATACATGTATATTACACTTATATTACAGGACATAAATTTCCCCTATATTACAGGACATACATTACACCTATATTACAGGACATATATTTCCCCTATATTACAGAACATATATTATATCTATATTACAGGACATATATACTGAACTACAAAAGAAACATCACCCCAAGTGACATTGCATGAAAAGTTGTCATTTAAATATCTGGGTAATGTTTGTAAAAGTTTCTAAAATTCAACATCACCTTGTCCAGAAAAATGAAATTTGATGAAAAAAAACCCCAAAGCAGATGACAATAAAACCGATCGCCCAAATGCATCACAGCAATGGCCATGATCAGGTACCCTGATGCATGTGAGTTCCGTGCAAATTGAAATGCACAAGCGTTCCCCCATTTCTTGCCCTATAAAAATCCACCCAGATCGGATAACATTCATTCTTTATTGAATTGCTACCACATGCCAAGAATGACAAGAAATTAGCGACGCCAAGCTCTTGGACGATTGCAAGCTGGACAAACCACCCGGCAAGTAGTCGATGCATTTCAAGTCCACGTAAGGAACATATACGGGCTCCAGCAAAGGTACCAGACCACCAACACTACAGATGACCGACCACGTAGTGGAAGGCCAAGTGTCACCACCTGACGTCAGGATCGTCAGAACACACTGTAGTGTTCCCTGTTTCCAGCAAAACAAGAGTGTACCAGTATGTGCCATACATACGTTCCCTAAACAAACTGTACTGTAGTGTTCCTGGTTTCAACGAGTGAGTGAGTGAGTATGGTTTTACGTTGCTTTTAGCAATATTCCAGCAATATCACGGCGGGTACGCCAGAAATGAGCTAACACATTGTACCCATGTGGGGAATCAAACCTGGATTTGGGGCATGAGTTTTTAACCACTAGGCCAAATTAAAGGTTTGTCTTCCCTGTCATCCCTCAAGACAGCAATCAGCAACAATCGGTCCTTCAGAATCGCGAGGCTATTAAGGTCAAGGTTATCACTGCCCTCTGCTGAACAACGTCAGGATGTTATCCTTCTTGTATTCATTTACAACAATTTCATTATCAAAGAAGTACAAGAAAGTCGTCCATAAATAACACTTGACATTGATATTGGAATCCATATTTTTTTGCAGTGCTTCTACAGTCCAAGAAAGATTATTCCTGCTCAAACTGATCCGTGGGAGCGAAGGTAACCGCATTAAGAAACTGCTGGGTTAATGTAAAATGTCACATCACTCCAGCTCATATGATTCTCTTTACAGGCTAGTGTTTGGAAAAAATCCTCAAAAATGCATCCACCATGTTCTTGAAACTCAACGAATGCAGCTTTTGAAATTTAATGCACCATCATCGGTACCTTCTGATTGTTAACAGGAGCATATCTTCCCATCAGTCCAGTGGAGACAGGTTTAGTTGACTGTCCCCTGCACACTACCTCACAATTACCATCACTTACAAGTCATCATTAATGGATCACAGTCTGTCAGACTGTCAAGGCTGATGGCAACTGTCTGGGGGCTGCAGATGCTGACTTGATGGATGCTGACTCCGCAAAAAATGACTTAAATGTAACCAAGGCGGTGTAAAACTGAAGTCCCATGCACTGGCCACTTTTTATTCTTTGACATTTTTATTTTCAAGGCTCGGATTGAATTGCACAAAGCAATAGCTGTTCTTATTTCAGAACTTTAAAGAACAATTGTAAACTTTCATCAAGTAGTTAGTTGTTAAAGACGCTGACTTGAGTCAAGCATTTGGATCTTTGGGAATGTAATTCAGAAGTACGAACCCCAGTATCTACATGCTTTCACAAAACAGGTTCTTGCCTTGATAGCTCATCCCAAAACAGCTTCCCACCCCAATAGCTCATCCCAAAACAGCTTCCCACCCCAATAGCTCATCCCAAAACAGCTTCCCACCCCAATAGCTCATCCCAAAACAGCTTCCCTGCACATGGATTTCCGAGAGGCAGAATAAATCCCTTCAAAGCTAAAAGCCGCTCGCTTTTTTCGAGTCAATGGAAGCCACGTAACATTGCGCAAGTTGATCTCAGCTCAATCGAACCGCTGTTTTCTATCAATTTCAAATTTGAATTTTAAGTTAATATTTTACAATGTCATATAAAAACATGTGGGTAAGATTAATTTGTTGTAGCAGAATCGCTCGGGGTACATGGGGTTTATTCGTCCCTCCTGATCCTGCTACAACTTATAATTGTGAAGCAAACTCAGCCCTATACAAACAATTGTGAAAAGACACAGATTTATTTTAAGAAAACAATTATCCAGAAAGTTGTACATTTTATTAAATTACTTTCATGTTGGTCGGTTTTGCAAATCGTATCATAAAGAAATAAATGGCACAAAAAGGAAAAAGCTGGACCAAGAATAGACCGAGCACATCCCAACAGGCGATCGATAACCTACATCTACGCCCTCTTTAACTGTTCCTTACATGCTCTCTATGCTTACTTCAAACTCAACCAATCCTTACAGCCTTACACGCCTTTGATAAAAATCCCACCCTAAATTACAGTAGAGTTGCTTTATGTCTCCAAATCGGAATACACTTATGCCTAATGCTGTGACTACAATCATTACAGGGGTGGGTTTGATGTTTACAAAAAATCCATACTAATCCCTAGGCACCAATGGAAAAGATAAAAAACACATGCACATAAACGTATCTAGAGCAAATCGATTCGTTCTAGATTAGTTGACTTTAGATACATCCATCATATTCCTGTCAGTCTTCGGAGTTGAAGGTTAATTCATATGGTCATTAGTTTTATTGACCCAGGATCTACCGACCTCAAACACAGGCAATAGCCCTATCACATACTGTCTATTACATATATTTATTGATCCACCATTGGCCATAATCTCCATCGGGGTGTATGAACGCTTAATGTATTATTCAATACAGACCCAGTTCCCTTCCCCCATCTCGGCAAACACAACCCCGCCAACGTCAATGACCGCCATCCAGATGTACTGGAGTGTGGGTTACTGTGCCGCCTGTTTCTTACGTCCTTATTCAATAAATGCTTGAGAGAACAGAACTTTCATGGGTTTTTTAATTGTAAAAGTGAATTATTGGTCTACCAGAAACATGACCTCT